CAGCTTCACAGTGCAGCGCTCAACCACCTACACCACAAGGCAGGCCCAAGATGGACTTTTGTATAAATGAAATCAAACAAAACCTAGGAGGTTTAGGGTCTCCCCAGTGGCGCAGCGATGAGCGCTGGGTTGCGAAGCTGCCCTCAGCCTCTGCAGCGCTGGTTTGATACCCGGCCACCGGGTGTGGGTCCCACATGGCGCGCAGACCTCTCCTGCCTCCCGCTGCTCCCCTCAGCAGTGTACTTCGGTCCTTCTGCCTGCTCTGCTCTCCACTCTGATGCTGGTGAATTCTCTCCCCCTCCCGCGCTTCTGACTGTACCCAGTGCATGTATAAATAAATAAATAAACAAATCTTTTTTAAAAAATAAAAAAAACCTAGGAGGTTTAGCTCAGATCATCATGCTTCAATAGGTGTATCTCTTAGACTTAACAAACATGTTGAAATGAGGGAGTGTATGACATCTCTTAAGTTGTGATATAAGTAAGAGATTTGTAACTGTCACAACAAATGTGTCACGAAGCAAAGGAGTTTGGTACCCAAGATTTATATCAAAGGACACAATTTCCCTCTTGTTGAAAAGTAGAATAACAATTTTCTAGAGATATCATGGCTGTGCCCGCATCAAAATTCAATACTTTGAAAACACAAGGGACCTAACAAGACAAGTTCCTCAGTCTTAAATATGGAGAAAACTTTACCTGAGATTTGAGATAAATTCAGGGTACAATTTAGGTTAAAAAGTAAGCCCCCACTCCTGACCCTGCAGGCAGCTTAGGAAGGCTGGAATGGATAAGGGAATGGATAAGGTTGCCTCTGGACAAGGCCATAAAACAGACCACCACAACCAGAAGAACCAGTACAGCTCTAGGGACACAAAGAGAAAGCCAGAACTTGTTCTGCGTGAAAAGCCAGTATCAGAGACCAGGAATCCCAGCAGGTAACTAGTGCAAACTGGCAGCCCCTTGAGGAAGCAGGGATAAGAGTAGAAATGAGACCCTCATATGCTCCTTCTCACACAGACTTCTCCCATCTCGCCACTGCTTCCCTTAGCAGTGTATTTCAATAAATCCACCTGTTCTGTTCTCAACTCTGTCTCTGGTGAATTCTTTCACCCCCATGCCTCCGGCCTCACCCTGATCTTCTCCCCAAAGCAATAAGGTGCTAGGAAATTTAGACCTCTTGACAGAAAATGCATTCATGGAAAAAGAGTAAAACCCAACACAAAAGAAACTATTCACTTCTCTCCAACCTGGTCTCTTGGGAGCAATCAGTAGAAAATTTTCCTTTCAATGCAGACCAGTGTCCGAAGGGAATCATGTGCTGAGAGGGCACAAGAGGGAAATGTGCCAAGGAGCACAGGTAGAAGCTGTAAATACCTCCTGTCCAGTGTGTAACCTTGAGATAAACGGGGCATGATTTTGATTTGGGTTTCAGTTCTGTTTTTCAGGGAGCCAGGTTTAGCTTGGGGACCAGTTCTTATTCCTTTTTACTCCTGGTCTGGAACAGAGCCTGAGTCACCATCACTACCATCCAATGGGAAATTCAGACTTCCACACGGAGACCTTTCTCTCAGAAATCCCACCAGGGTGAGTCCAACACAGTGGCTATTGAACGACAGGCTCAGAGAATATGTGGGCCAGGAACATTCACCTGTGGTTGCCTGTTTGCTTCCTTGCCTAATTAATTATTCATGTATGATTCCAGACAAATGAATAAAATCTAGGTATCACAAAGATCAGGTGCTCATAAATGATCACTAGAAAGCCAAATGGAAAAAGATTGGGAATTTTTAAACATTTCCAATAAAAATAGAATATGTCCAACAAAAGACAAAATTTGCCAGCTGGACTTAGTTCTCAGCGCACAGCAGGGGAGGAGAGAGAGAGGCTAAAGATGGGGGGGGTGGGGGGGGTGAAGAGCACAAGGGACTAAGGTGATGAGGTGATGGGTCACGGGTGCTGTGGTGGTGGGAGCGCTATAGGGACTACAGAGAGGGGAGAAATCAAAGAGTTTATAAAAATCAGCAATGAATGAAATTTTTAAAAATATCTTTAGTGATTTTTTAAGAGTATGTACATGGAGTTTTGCAGGTAAAGGGAGTGGGGTAGTAGGTTATTAAGCACAGAAAGATAACCACTGAAATGAGGACTTTTGTTCTTTTATTAACTTTAAGATGGGATATATTCAATCATTTTCTTATATTGTTGAGATAAGACCAGGAATTGCTGGCTTGTAAATATTGCCATGCAACCTTAGTTCATCGGGCAAATGTAGAATATCTTCTATTTCTCTGGTTATGTACCTGGGGGAAAAAACATTTTTATTAGCCAAGAGGGAGTATACTAAAGAGCTTTACTTTGCAATAAGTTTATTGTAAATTTGACTATATCTGTGGGTCATCATTTGTTTTCTCTATTATTACTGTGTTGCAAGACCTTTACATTTTCATTGTGCGATCAGAGTGTTTCATTGCTGCTTTCATTGCATTCATTCAAACTAAGCTTGGAGTTGTTTGCAGCAATTTTGCTGCTTGTCACTCAGCTCTTTCAATGTACATATTCATGTATTCGGGGGGAATTGTCAGTGTTTATATATTCTGTGGGGGCAAATCTAACAGTCAGACTGGTGTTTTCCATTGCCTTTTATTAATTTTTTCTTATGGGAGTGGTTGAGCTGTCACTGTAATATCATAAATACCATGAAATTATAACTTAGCTAGTGACTCCTCAACCATTTAAAAATATTCTTTAATTTTTTTAATGGAAAGGAACTTTACTACAATTAGTGAACAATACAGAAAAGACAAGGAATATAGTTTCTAAATCAAGCACCCAAGATTACTCATTCCCTGGTGGGTAAAAGTCCAGCCAAACGAGATTGGCCCAGATCAAGGTCTAAAAGACTGCTGCGAGTCTAAAGCACATTCCAGTGGGGCCCCACAGAAAAGAATCAGAAACAACCAGACAAGTCTGGGAGAAAAAGAGCAAAATCAAAATCAAGATAAAAGCTGCCATTGCTAACCTCCTCACGGGTTTCTCACCCGCATCTGTAAAAACCTTCTTTTATTTTTTTTTTTTATATTCTAATTCTCTGAGCAACAAGAGTTGAATGGGCTCGGACAGTCTTTATCTTTTTTTTAATTTTATTTTTATATTCCCCATTCAATTGCAACCCCCTTATTTTGACCCCAATCCCTCCTTTCCCTGCCCCCCACCCCCCATAGAGTGTCTCTGTAAAAACCTTCTTTTAGATAAACTCTTATCTTTTGCAACAACAGGTATGGAAGGGATTATGCTCTATAAATAAAAAGAGAAAGTTATTACTGGAAAAATTCCACTTATTAGTGACATACAGAGAAACAAAACAAATGGTCAAATAAAATCCAAACCACTAACAAACCCTAGAACTCTGACTGTAGGACCAACGCTGCCAGAGGGGGAGGGGAGAAACAAAATAGAAAGGAGCACAGTGGGTTATGCTGGAGGCCTCAGGTATTTGGCGGTGGGTGTGGTGTGGTAGCAACACCTGCAGGGGGAGAGCAATACCTCTAGATACAAACAACATTGTGCACCAATGTTACCTCAATTTAAAAAAAAAGTTTTTAAGGAAGAAAAAGAGATAAAACCCTTCTTTTATATGTTTTATTTACCAGCTTTGGCAATTTAATATTGAATCAGTGACCATTTTCATGGCTTTAAAATATTAATTTAATTTTTTGTTGAAATAACATTTCATTGTAACACTGTACAAGTTTCAGGTTTGTGTCTTTAAAATCAACATGTGAGTATTCTACATTAACACTAAAACTCTGATTCTATCCTTCACCAATCTTTTGTCCCAATTTCCTTATCCATTCCTCCTTCCCCTTCTGGTAACCACAAATTGGTCTTATAATCTAAAAGTCTGTCTTTCTTTGCCTGACTTCTGCTTTAGATTTCATTCTACCTTGCTTTATATGCTTGTTTGAAACCACTATTCTTAACATAATTTCACTCTTATTCACATTCTTTATTCCATAAGTTCTTAAGCTCTATGAAAATGTCTCCTTATCAGGACAAGGGTACCAGAACTCACACACTCCAAACTGCAAACCTTAAAAACAGACACAGAGGGTAAAATTACTGGTGAAATAAGGAAGAGATTCATTTTTATTCACAGAATTCCCTGGAAACATTACTAAAATGCAGGGAACAGCAGATGGTAGATGGTGTCTGCTCTTGAAGCCTGGGGAGCAGCAGGGAGCCCCTTCTTCCCTCTACATCTCTGACACCATCTCTCATCATCTCCCTCTTGCTTGTTCACTCACCTTGAAGCACTGGCTTCCTTTTGTGCCTTAAACATCACAAACAGTATCTTCCTCAAGAATTTTGCTCAGTGGTTCCCCCTGCGTGTACACAGTTTGCTGGATAACTTTGCATCTCCACCTACCTTCCTGAGACTTCTATTCAAATGTGCCCTGTTGACAGCTTTTGCCTAAACAATAAGTAAAAAGAAATAACACCTTCACCTTCTCTTTCCTTACACCACCCCTCTTTTTCTCCATAGCAATAGTCACCATCTGATACATCATGTGATCTTGTATTTGCTTAGATATTTTTCTAAGTGAATTACCGAGACTTTTATGTCTCTGCATCCTATACTCTCTGACTGGAAGATGCCCAGTACTCACATATATTCTTCATGTGTTTGAAACAATAACTCATTAAGACTGCAGAGTACATGATCTCTGCCAATTGGAGAGACACACAGAGATAAAAAAAGAAAACATTCCATAAAATCATATTGGTATTTATTTCTTCACTAGAAAAATACATAATAGTATTTCTTCTAAGTGAGTAATGTCCATTTGAAAAATATATATCATTACTTTTTTTTCTTTCCTAGTCATCGCCAGGCCTACATGGAAGCAAGGAATGATACTCACAGTTCAGAATTTATTCTTCTGGGGTTATCAAAGGAACCAGAAATGCAGCCCCTCATTTTTTGGCTTTTCCTCTCCATGTACCTCATCACTGTGTTGGGGAACCTGCTCATCATCCTGGCCTTCAGATCAGACTCCCGCCTCCACACCCCCATGTACTTCTTCCTCTCCAACCTGTCCTTTGTGGACATCTGTTTCACCTCCACCACCATCCCCAAGATGCTGGTCAACATCCAGACACAGAGCAAAGCCATAACCTTTGAAGGCTGCATCACCCAGATGTATTTTTTCATTCTCTTTGCAGGGCTGGATGACTTCCTGCTAACCGTGATGGCCTATGACCGCTTTGTGGCCATCTGCCACCCACTGCACTACACGGTCATCATGAACCCCCGGCTCTGTGGGCTGCTGGTCCTGCTGTCCTGGAGCATTGGTGTCTTGAATCCCTTATTACAAAGCCTAATGGTGTTGCGACTGTCTTTCTGTTCAAACACGGAAATCCCCCATTTTTTCTGTGAAATCAGCCAGGTTCTTCAGTGTTCCTGTTCTGACACCTTTCTTAATGACTTGGTGACGTATTTGGTAACAGTTTTCCTGGCTGGGGGGCCCCTCACTGGGATCCTTTACTCTTACTCTAAAATAGTTTCCTCTATACGTAGAATCTCTTCAGCTCAGGGGAAGCATAAAGCATTTTCCACCTGTGCCTCTCACCTCTCAGTTGTCTCCTTATTTTATGGCACTGCCTTTGGAGTGTACCTTAGCTCTGCCGTTCCTCACAGCTCACACTCAAGTGCAATAGCCTCGATGATGTACGCTGTGGTCACACCCATGCTGAACCCCTTCATCTACAGTCTGAGGAACAGAGACATAAAAGGGGCTCTAAGAAAAATGTTTGGGGTGGCTGCTATATTACAAAAATTGTCTGGAGCTGAAGAAATGCCTGCAAGTGCAGGGCTGAAAATTTTTGAACCAAAAATTGCTATTGTGTCATCACACCAGGGTAACTGAACTTGTTCGTTTGATTTATATCCCAGAATTTCCATTTCATTGACCTCTAGCCAATAAAATTCCCTATACAATTATTTAACTCACATTAGTATGCTTTCTACTCTGATACATACTTGGTCTCTCCAATTCTATTTCCAAAATGTTTTTCCAAAACTTGTTTCAGAAATGATTGTAATTTCCTATATTTTAGTGTAGCACTGCATATCATTAAGAATAATTTTTTCTCAAGTAACATACATTATCCCAAATATTTTTCTTTATTTTTCCTGAAAAAAATAATCATGAGTTGTGTTACACATATGGAATAAAACTATACTTGGCACTAAACCCATTAATATAGTTTTATTTTAGTGGAACAATTGGAAACCACAGATTTTTCATTGGGTCTGTTACTCTGTTGTTTAAATACCTAACCTGACCTCACTGATAATGTAAACTTCAACATGCTGGTGTGTTTTATATCTGACCTCCTGCTTTTATTCTGTATTTTAGTTTGATGTGCACAATGCCTACCATAATCACTGACACGAATCAATTTTAAAATACATCTCCCAATAGAGCCGACATGGGAAATCAAAATTTAATAAATAGATTCATCTACTATGGTCTTGAGCTAGAAAAAGGCTTTGAATGTGATGAAACACAAATTTAAATCACACATTTGATTACTATGCAAAATATTTCCTTTTCATGCTGTCCATTGAGCCAATGGACAATAGGGTATGCACCAATGTGTGATAGGGTATGTACCTATTGGAATAAATGCTTGGTGTATTTATATTCCTTTCTGAATCATTTTCCTTTTCTTGCTTGAAAAATTTCAGTGCTACCTACAATTATACCTCACCTACTTCTCTAAAGGAATAACCTCCCTTTTTCTAAACTTTGTCAAAAACACTAAATTGTCAATGAAAAGAATTTTTTCAGGTCATCTACTGTATACTTTCTTTGTGCTCAGGAAATTCTTCATCTTAATCAAAAGATGGTCCCCCTACAAAATTGCTTTAGTTATTTAGTTTTGTGGTTACTTTTACATTGTAAGATTAAATTATATGTTTCTGTGAAAATCCACTGCTATTTTCATAGGGACTGCACTGAATCTATAGATTGCTTTAAGTAATATGGCCACGTAAGCAACATCAATACCTCCAATCCATGAGCACAGACTACCCATTTATTATGTCTTTTTCAATTTCTTTCATCAGTCTTACAGTTTTCAGTGTACAGCTCTTTCATATGCTTGGTTAAATTTATTCATAGGTATTCTACTTTTTTTATATCATTGTAAGTGGAATTGTTTTCCTAATTTCTTTGAAAATTAGGTTGTAATATTTAGAAATGCAACTAATCTTTATATATTGATTTTAAGTCCTGGGACTTTATTGAGTTAGTTTATTACTTCTGACATTTTTTCTAATCATTTTGGTTATCATTAAATTCATTAAATAATATGTCTTCTGCAAATAGAGTTTTAGTTCTTGCTATAACTAGGATTTCCAGTTCTATGTTGAACAAAAGTGGTGAAGTGGACATCCTTGTCTTGTTCTTTATCTTAGAGAAAAATTTTTTCAGGTTTTCTTCTGTAAATGTGATGTTAGCTGTGGGATTATAATATATAATCTTCATTTATTGTAGCATATTCTTTTGATACCCACTTTATTGAGTTTTTTTAATCATGAATTGATGGTGATATTTGTTAAGTGCTTTTACCATATCTATTGAGATAATCTTATGATTTTTGTCTTTCATTTGTTGTTGCATTGTACCATATTGATTGAGTTGCAGGTGACCTTCATTTTAATAATGAATTATTTTTCCTATTAATGCTCAGTGTCCCAGAGTCACACTGTGCTTACATTTATCCAGTGGGGAATTCTCTGTACTAGTTAATTGAACATAATCTCCAAATTGACTTAAAAATTTTCTTCTAGTTAATATGAGATTCAACAAAAAGTGCTCTTATACAAGGAAGCTAAATGAATTAACTCAGAGGCTTTGTATTCCATTTCCTCCAAAAAAAAATTGCCTGAGTATGTATTCCTATTATTGTTTCACACTAGGTTTTTATGCATTTCTTATATATATATATGTGTGTGTGTGTGTGTGTATATATATATCTTTTATATATATGTATTTTATATCATTATGTATTCCCTGTAAAATTCCTACCTCCAGTTCACCCATGAACCTTCATCATAGTCCCTTGTGCTCTTCTCTCCCGTTTTGATCCCTTTTCCTCCCCCTCCCCTGAAAAAAATGTCTCTTATTTATGGTTGCCTGCTACTATTGTTTTAATTGTTGTTATTATTCTTTTTCCTGATTACTTATTTAATTCCCCTGTATTCCTCCTATAAGTGAAACCCTGATATTTTTCTTTTTCTTTCTGGCTTATTTCATTGAGCATGATCCCTTCTAGTTCAGTCCATATTGCTGCAAATGGCATGAGTTTATCTTTTTTGATTGCTGAATAGTATTCCTTTGTGTATATATACCATGTCTTCTTGATCCAGTCATCTATTTTGGGGCATTTGGGTTGTTTCCATAGCTTACCTATTGTAAATAGTGCTGCTATAAACATAGGGGTGCAGGTATCTTTTTGAATTAATGCTTTTGTGTCCTTTGGATAGATTCCTAGGAGTGGAAAGACTGGTTCATATGGTTCTCCATTTTTAGTAGACTGAGGAACTTCCACACAGCTTTCCATAGGGGTTGGACCAGTTTGTATCCACACCAGCAGTGTAAGAGAGTTACTCTCTCTCTCCACATCTTCTCCAACATTTATTGTTTCCTGCTTTTTTTTTAATATTTTATTTTATATAATTCTTACATCGTTTTTCTTTTTTGTACAATGTATGCATTTCCATTTTGGTTATATTCCCCATACAATTGCACCCCCACCTTATTTTGACCCTAGTCCTTCCTCTCCCCACTCCTCCCCCGCCGTAGTGTGTCTCTGGTTTATAGTTGCTTGTTGATTTTTATTTTTACTTTGCATTAATTAGTCTTTTTCCTGGTTCCTTATTTAGGTTTTCTAAATTCCTGCTATGAATGAGATCATCCGGTATTTTTCTTTTTTTTTTTCTGACTTATTTCGCTGAGCATGATCCCTTCTAGCTCCATCCATGTTGCTGCAAACTGCATGTGTTTATCTTTTTTGATTGCTGAGTAATATTCCATTGTGTGTATGTACCACATCTTCTTGATCCAGTCATCTATTTTTGGATATTTGGGTTGTTTCCAAAGCTTAGCTATTGTAAATAGTGCTGCTATAAACATAGGGATGCAGGTGCCCTTTGGAATTGATGTTTCTGTGTCCTATGGGTAAACACCTAGGAGTGGAATTGCTGGATCATATGGAAGCTCTATCTTTAGTAGGTCTAGAAATCTCCACATATCTCTCCATAGTGGTTGGACCAGTTTGCACTCCCACCAGCAATGCAGCCAAAGAGGAAATGCAAATGGCTAACAGGCATATGAAAAAATGCTCAACATCACTTGTAATCAGGGAAATGCAAATCAAAACTACAATGAGATACCATCTTACACCAGTGAGAATGGCACATATTAAAAAAACTAGCAACAACAAATGTTGGCGAGGTTGTGGAGAAAAAGGAACTCTCCTGTTTCCTGCTTTTTTAATGCCGCCATTCTCCCTGGTATAAGGTGACATCTAATTGTGGTTTTGATTTGCTTTTCCCTGATTATAAGGGATGTTGAACATTTTTTCATATACCTTTTGGCCATTTTGCATTTCCTCTTTGGAGAATTTTCTTTTTAGCTCTTCTGCCCATTTTTTGACTGGATTGTTTACTTTGTTTTTGTTGAGTTGTATGAGCTCTTCTTAGATTTTTTGTGATCAGTCCCTTATCAGTTGTATTGTATGCAACAATTTTCTCCCAATCAGTAGGGTGTCTCTTAGTTTTGATTAGTACGCCTTTTCCTATACATAAGCTTTTTAGTTTGAGGTAATCCCAGTTGTTTATCTTTTCCTTCATTTTATTTGCTTTAGGGGAATGTGCCTTTAAAATTGTTAGTGACATATATGTTGTATGGTGTTTTGCCTATATTTTCTTTTATATATTTTACGGTTTCAGGTCTTACATTCAGGTCTTTTACCCATTTTAAATATTTTTTAAGATTTATTTATTTATACAAGAACTGGGGTACATGTCAGAGGAGCGGGAGGGTGAGAGAATTCACCAGCGAGAGCGGGGAGCAGAACAGGCAGACGGATTGAAGACAGTGCTGAGGGGAGCAGGGGGCATGACAGGAGAGGTCTGCTGCACCATGTGGGTTTCTCTCTGGCTGGCCAGGAATTGAACCTCGTGGCAGAGGCTGTGGACAGCTTCACAGAGCAACACTCAACCTGCTGCACCACCAGGGAGACCCATGAGTTGGTTTTTGTGCATGGTATAGGTAGTAATCTAGCTTCATTCTTTTGCATGTGGCAGTCCAGTTTTCCCAGCACCATTTATTGAACAAACTATCTTTGTTCCATTGCATATTCTTTGCTCCTTTGTCAAAGATTAGTTGTTCATAAATATGTGGGTTTACACTAGGAGTTTAAATGAAACAAATTTATATTCAGTTTGGGAGGTCAGAACTCCAAAATGAGTTTCTTTGGGCTCAAATCAAGATGTTTACAGGCCCAGGTTCCTTCTATAAGCTCCAGAACAGTCTTTTTTAACTTTTCTTTATAATTTTGGTGACCACAATTTTTCCTTGGCTCACCATCCTTCCTCCATCTTCAAAGCCAGCAGTAAGATCTTCAAATCTCTCCAATTCCAACTATTCCTCTTTCACATTCAAAAGTCCATGGTGAGTACATTAGTCCCACCTGCATAATCATTACCAATCTTCTTGCCTTTAGATCAGCCAATAGACAATCTTACTGTTTCTGCTACCTTAATTCCAACTTTCTATTTTAAAAAAACATTCAAAGTTACCAAGGATTATAATGCAAATACCTTAGGGTGATTTTACTCTGTGTGCTAAAATAT